TATATACCTTGTAACTGTGACTTTCCTTCCCTCCATTGACTACGGTGACATCATTTACATGAACACTCCTACAAGCACTCTGCAGATGTTGGATGCTGTCTATCACGGTGCACTAAGATTCATAACTGGCTGTAACTACCGTACCCACCACTGCACCCAGTATTCACTGGTTAACTGGACATCATTAACTTCACACAGACTCTCTCACTGGTACATTTTCATCTTTAAATCATTTCTTGGTCTGCTGCCTTCATACATCTCCTCCTACATGTCTCTGCGTCAGTGCAGCTACAGCGTGCGACCTCAGGACATTTTTACCTGCAGTGTTCCCTCAGTGCAGACTGAACTAGACAAAAGGGCTTTCTCCTACTCCGCTCCTGTTTCTTGGAATATCTTACAAAAAGATCTGAAGCTCTCGATCTTGAACTCTATAAGTAGCTTTAAACATCTGTTAAGTTCCTGGCAAAAACCAACGCAGACATGTTTCTGTTTATAGTATTCTACACCACCTTACAACATAGCTGTTTTTTAATTATATATCCTTTTGATTGTCCTTCTATTTTAACTTGTTAAAAAAAAAATTAATTTGTACGCATCCTTTATAATTGTTTATTGTTGTCATTGTTGTCCACTGTTGTCATCACTCTTTGTTAAAAATTCAGGTCTCGGGTCGTTGCTATGGCGCAGAGGTTAAGAGTGCGACCCATGTTCAAAGCTAGTCCTCATAGCAGCGGTCGCGGGTAAGAGTCCCAGTCCCAATGACCTTTCTGCAATGTCTCCCCCTCTCTCTCACCCTGTATCGCCCCTTACTCTCTACAACAAAAATAGGCCACTAGAGACTCAAAAAGGAAGAAAAAAAACAACAACAAAAATCAAGTCTCTCTTGTAAATGAGTCCCTAAGGCTCAATGGAATTAACCTGTATAAATAAATAAATAAATAAAAGTTGAATGATTGAATATATGTACATATATATATATATATATATATATATATATATATATATATATATATATATATATATATATATAAACACACGTGTGATGACGCAAAGGTTAGAGAATGTGGGCCTATGATTGTCACCAGTTAGACTCCCCAGACCGACAACATTATAATGTGTGTCGGAAAGTTGAAGCACCCACACCTGCCTCCACCCTCTTCTGCCCCACTCTGGCCACTTGAGCAAGGCCTTTAACCCCCCACCATCTGCTCCCCTGAGCACCCTAGATGGCAGCGCCCTGCTCCACACAGAGGGGCTGTGGTAGCTTGGTGGTCTGTGGTTGCGTGAGGAAGAACATCCATCCATCTTTTATTCGCTTCTTCCATTTTGGGTCAGGGGGTTCCTCGGTGCCCATGTTCAGCAATCACTGTGTGAGGGGCGGAGTATACCCTGGACAGGTCTCCAGTCCATCACAGGGACACATAGAGACAAACAACCATTCAAGCCCCCACTTTACTCCCGCGTACGTCAGTTCACATGTACGTACGCGTGTACTGTACGCAGAGGGTTCAGACGTCGTACTCCAGCGTACACCCCGAGCAGCTGCAGAGCAGCTTCACAGACAAGGGGCGTTTACCTTCGGGACAAATTGAGGTCGCCAATTGGTCATTTGCTGACACGCCTACTGGATTGATTGACAGGTCGGAAAAAAAAAAAAAAAAGAGCTGGCAGCCTCAGCCGCAGCGGTGTTCTGTGTTTATATGTTGTTAATAAAAAGATCTAAAAAATAAAATAAAATAAACAGGGAGCGCTGGCTCTACAGCCCACACATCAGACCAGCCCACCAGGAAATCTCCAGACCCTCCTGCAGCCATGCTGGACCTGAGCTTAATTCTCTAGTGACAAATTCCTCCATTTCTCACCATTTCAGTCATGGCATCAAAGGAGGAGGAAGAGATCTCTGCCTCTTGGCAAAAAAACAAAAGAAAAGGCCAGATCAGGGATGAAGAAGGGGAATTTAATACATTGGTGTTGCATACAAAACAGTCCGTCGCTGGGCAGTTTATTGTGCAACACCGTATAAGCGTATGCGGTCATAAAAATTGAGCTTTGCACAGACATGCCCTGGGGGGTACGCACGTACCTCCGCATACGTACGTGCGTACCTCTGCGTATGGACGTACACGGGAGTAAACTGGGGGCTTCACTCTCTCTCTCACACCTAGGGACAATTTAGAGTTACCAATCAGTCTAACATGCATGTTTTTGGTCTGTGGGAGGAAACTGGAGCAGCCGGAGAAAACCCACGCATGCACGGAGAGAACATGCAAACTCCACCCAGAAAGGCCCCTGGACCGGGATTTGAACCAGGGAAACTGCTCGCAGAGAGGCAGCAGCTCTACCAGTTGCGCCACCGTGCTGCCCGTCAGGAAGAACATCCGGCGTAAAAATAATAGTCAAGTCTTCGTGTGAGTTAGTTCACTGTAGTGACCCCTGAAGAAGGGTGCGGCCGAAAGAAGAAGAAAAAAATATGTGTGTATTGAAGGTTATTTAATCTATGTAACCAAAGTCAACCTAGCCCCCCCCCCCCCACACACACACACACACACACACACATTGTTCTTGGTGGTGATTAAACCTGCTCACCAGGATCCTTCACTCTGCTCTGACTCAGAAAAGAGAGAAAATCTAAACTCCGTCTGTTCTTCTACACAAAGTAACTCCTCCCCTCTTGAACTTGTTGCACCAAAAACAGGTTTACTTGCATTCACCGTTCAAGTCCAGTCCAGAAAAACAGTCATCTCAAAAACTACAAACTTTCACAATCCCTTAGCGATGGGGGACATCAGCCTGTTTAACCTGTCCTGAAACACCAACATGATGAAATCAAGCACAATGCTCCTGAGAAAGTTGGAACCATGAGACATTTGACATGTCCTGCCTCTCTGATGGACTGAAACGTCCAGCCGGCTCATGTGTCCCTGCACTGATAAAGGACAATCATGTTTTTACCCCTTCTGTGGGTGCTTGTTTGTCTCTCTTTAAGCGAAATGTTAACAACAACCGTGGATTTTAAAGAACCCCTCAGACAGTAAACACTGGATCTCCTGTACAGTACGACTGATTTGTTGTGAATCTCATTCAAAGTTGCTGCTGCAGCTGATCGACCTCAGCCTGTACATTATTATGGACTGGCCCGACCCGCTCCGGGTTCGGGTTAGAAATGACAGCTCTACCGCAGAGCATTGCTCCACCCGCTAACATATCATGTTTCACAATGCTGCATGAGACTGTGCATAAAGTTAGCTTCAAGGTTTTACCAAAACAACTGTCTGCATCCTTTTTCATCAGAAGATGACTTTATCCTAAATATTTGTGATGAGAGGCGGCGGGCGATATGCATTCCTTCAAGTTGCTGTGCCTCTTCTTACAGCTCGTTTTTAGAGAGATGATCTGAGACTCACATTAAACACATCATCATCCACAGCACCTGCTCACAGCAGCAGCTGTAACACTCTGACACATCACAGACCCATGGTTTCCATGGAAACACACAGATACAGAAGAGCTGGGGATACCCCATCAAACTATTCTGACATATTAAAAAGACAACTGTTGGTTTCTACAAACAACTTTTTTTTTGCTTTTTTTTATCAGAAACGTGTGACACACAGTGTGTGTGTGGGGGGGGGGGGGTGTGGGGGGGGGGGGGGTACCTTTCTTTTGGAGCGCTCAGACTTCTTGGACATGTTCTTCATCTTTTTCTGGAGGTGACATAAAACCTGCAGAGATGAAAGTTCTGGTTACTGAAGATATTTCCACCAAATTAAAATGGGCTCATCGTGTTTTATTTTGAAAAGCCCAGTCACAAGTGTTCTATTTTCCTCTTTAAACTTTGTTTAAATTTTTTACAGTCTACTTCTGCAGACTTTGTGCTTTGTCAGCTGTTCATATATCAAAAGTTTCAGCTCATACTGTGACTTGTAGTTTTTGTAACTGTCATACTTCTTGAAATATTTAACTTTTTTTAATATAAGATCACTTAATACATTGAGCTCTTCAAAAACCTTGTTCTTTTTGCAGACCTGCTCGATTTTTGTCTCCTTATGTTCCTTTTGGTTAATGTTCTGCTTCTTTTACCATTTTACTATTTTTAGCTAGCGTTTGGCTGATTTGATGTTTTTGTTTGTTGTAATTCTTTCTTCAGCAAAGTTCTTCATCATTTGTCGTTCATCCTGGTGGTTCGTCTTCATTGTTGGTTTCCTCCTGCAGCTTCAGAAATAAGTGAACTAAAATGTAAAATAAAACTGGACTTCTGTTGTGCTGCTCTTTGTTTTCTATTATTATTATTTTATTTAGGTTTTATTAAATCCTGTATGGCTGATGATCTACACGTTCATATAGAGTAGTGATTCATGAGATATTTTGCTAACAGACAGAAAGCTCTCCAGCTCAGAACCATCCTTCAGTTCAGAGTTGGACTTCATGTGACTGAGCTGCAGATCTTTAAGGGTTTTTCTACATCACAGGACAAGTTTAATGATTTTTATGGATCTTACCACAGACTGTTTACCTTACAATCTGATGACGTCACACTAACTCTGCAGTTTTCATCAAACATCTGATCAGCTGAGCTTCTGCTGCTTCAGAACCGACACAAAGGTTCTGCCTGAACAGGAAACTTTTCCTGCTGTTGTTTTGAAACTCACACCTGTGTTGGTGCGCGTGCTCTGCTCCGGCGCGTTTTTTACGCACAGACATTTATGAGCATGAGGACTTTGCGCGCGGCCTTTGACCCCCGTTCTGTTCTGAGCACGTGCTTTACTGCAGATCGGACTGATTGGGTTTGGACTGACCCTGGTGTAGCAGCAGCAGATGAGCAGCAGCGGAACCACGAAGCCCAGCAGCAGGACCGACACCTTGTAGGCGAACCGAGACGATCCAGACCAGTTCTCCCAGCAGAAGGTGCTGTTCGGGGCACTTGGGTGGTTGGTGAGAACCTGGTGCTGCGCTACTGGTATGGAGCACAGCAGAGACATGGTCCAGATGACGCACAGCCCGACTTGCGCGTTCCTGCGGCTGCGGACGCACGCGGAGCTCTTGGAGCGCACCACGGCGATGTAGCGGTCCACGGACATGGCCACGAGCGTGAAGATGCTGACCAGCATGCTGACGGTGGAGAAGAAGTGTCCGAAGCTGCAGAGGAAGGCCCCGAACACCCACTCGGGCAGGGAGTAGATGGTGGCGTGGAGCGGCACGCAGAAGAGGAGGAAGAGGAGGTCCGCCGCGCTCAGGTTCAGGATGAAGATGTTGGTGGGGCTGAGGGCGCGCGCGCCGCCGCTGGACTTCACCCTCCCGATCACCACCATCACCAGAGAGTTTCCCACCACCCCCACCACGAAGATTAGCCCGAACACCACCGGTACCACCACAGCCTCCGGTCCCGGTCCGCCGCTGCTCCCCGGCAGCTCAGCCCGGACGGAGGACTCGTTTCCCGGCAGCGGCATGCCGGAGCTCTGCGGGGGGGCTGGAGGTCAGACTGAGTGACCCGGACCCGACACCTCCAGCAGCGCAGTCCAGACTCCCGGGACAGAACAAGGAAAGTTACTGCAAACATAAACAGCTGCTTCCGGTCTGAGTATTTCAAAATAAGACTAGTTCAATGATTCTGTTTCAAAATAAATCCATCCACCAGAGAACAGAAACAGTTGTTCCTCTGATGTTTCAGCTTCATTCTCCACTTCACTGCTCCCTGTCAAAGCTTTTGTTTTGTACAAATGCTGTTTTACTTCCTGTTCAGTTGTTAAACCTCTCATTGTTATTATTAAAGTTTAACTTTTTATTTTATGATATTCAGTGTATTTTCATAATGTTTAATAAAATTAAACTTTGAACCAACAGATTGTTTTGTGCTGCTACTTCTTCCCTGATTGGTTGATAAAAATCAAATTGCGCTTGACGAATTTTGGCTTTGCACAGTGCTGCACTTGACAGCTGTTGCCTCTCATGGATGGATGGATGATGATGGATAATGGTTGGTAGATGGATGTTGGATGATGGATGGATGATGCATGCTGCATATATTGATGGATGATGGATGGATGGATGAATGGATGGATGGATGGATGATGTATGGCTGGAGGATGGATGGATGGATGGATGGATGATGGATAATG